TTGATAAATGATTTCAGCAAAGTTGCAGGATACATAATCAACACACAAATATCACTAGCATATCTATACTCTTAACTGTGAACATACAGAAAAAGAAATCAAGAAAGCTAGCCCATTTACAATAGCCACCAAAAAAATAAAATACTTAGGAATAAAGGTAACCACGGATGTGAAAAATCTCTACAACGAGAACTAAACCACTGTTGAGAGAAATTAAAGAGGACACAAGAAGATGGAAAGATATCCCATGTTCTTGGATTGGAAGAATTAACATTGTGAAAATGGCCATACTACCCAAAGTGATCTACAAATCCAATGAAATCCCCATCAAAATTCCAATGACATTTTTCTCAGAAATGGAAAAAACTATCCAGACATTTATAGGGAATAACAAAAGACCATGCATATCCAAAGCAATCCTGAGCAAAAAAAATAAAGCTGGAGGCATAACACTACCTGACTTTAAACTATACTACAAAGCTATAATAACCAAAACAGCATGGTACTGGCATAATAATAGACACAGTGATCAATGGAATTGAATAGAGAACCCAGAAGTCAACCCATACACCTATAGCCATCTGATCTTTGACAAAGGCAGCAAGTCTACACAATGGGGAAGAGACTGCCTCTTCAACAAATGGTGCTGGGAAAACTGGATATTTATATGTAGGAGAATGAAACTAGACCCATACCTCTCACCATATACCAAAATCAACTCAAAATGGATTAAAGAATTAAATATACCTCCTGAACCAATAAAACTCCTTAAAGAAAACATAGAGGAAACACTGCAGGAAGTAGGAGTGGGTACAGAGTTCATGAATATAACCCCCAAAGCACAGGCAACTAAAGGAAAAAGCAACAAATGGGATTATATCAAACTAAAAAGCTTCTGCACAGCAAAAGAAACAATCAACAGAGTGAAAACACAACCAACAGAGTGGGAGAAAATATTTTCAAAATATACATCTGACAAAGGATTAATATCTAGAATATACAAGGAACTGAAACAACTTTACAGTAAAAAAACAAATAACCCAATTAAAACATGGGCAAAGGAGCTGAATAGACATTTCTCAAAGGAGGACATACAAATGGCCAACAGGTACATTAAAAAATGCTCAACATCACTAATTATCAGGGAAATGAAACGTAAAACCACATCCTTATATCATCTCACCCCATTTAGACTGGCTGTTATCAAAAAGACAGAGAAGGGCCGGCCTGGTGGCGCACTGCTACAGTGCGCTGCTTGGGAGCGCGGCTGCGCTGCTTGGGAGCACGGCGGCGCTCCCGCCGAGGGTTCAGATCCCACATACAGACCGGTTCCCGCTCGCTGGCTGAGCGAGGGGCGGGTGCAACACTGAGGGCTGCGATCCCGTTGCCAGACACGAAAAAAAAAAAAAAAAAAAAGACAAAAAGACAGAGAATAACAAAGGCTCGCGAGGATGTGGAGAAAAGAGAATCCTTCCACACTGTTGATGAAACTGTAAATTAGTACAGCCATTATGGAAAACAGTGTGGAGATTCTTCAAACACCTACAGATAGATCTACTATACGATCCAGCATCCTACTGCTTGGTATATACCCAAAGGAATGGAAATCATCACATGGAAGGGATACCTGCACTCCCATGTTTATTGCAGCTCTATCTACAATAGCCAAGGTATGGAACCAACTTAATCTGTCAATAGACAAGTAGATAAGGAAAATGTGATATATATATACACAATGGGATACTACTCAGCCATAAAAAAAGAATAAAATTCTGTCATTTGTAGCAACATGGATGAGTTTGCAGAAACTTATGTTAAGTAAAGAAAGTCAGGTACAGAAAGAGAAATACCATGTCTTCACTCATAAGTGGGAGCAAAGAACGAAAGAAAGATGGACGGAAGGAAGGAAGGAAGGAAGGAAGGAAGGAAGGAAGGAAGGAAGGAAGGAAGGAAGGGAGGAAGGAAGGAAGGAAGGAAGGAAAGAAAAAAAGAAAGAAGGGAAGGAGGGAAGGGAGGAAGGAAGGAAAAGAACAATTAAAATAATACGCTGAACTTTTAGAAAGAGAGAACAGCACTGTGGTTACCGGAAGTGGGAAAGGGGGAAGGGGTTAGCAAGAAATTGGTTAACAGACACAAAGAATGATTACGTTTTGTAATGATGAAGATGCTAGTTATCCTGATTTGATCATCACATATTGTACGTAAGCACTGACAGTTAGTTAACCCTGTATCCCAGAAATATGAATAATCAACTATGTTTCAATTTTAAAAGAAAGATTTGCAGGAACAGAACAGTTGGAAGAGCATCCCTACCATCCAGTGATGCAGGCTGGGAGCGTATTCAGGACTGGGATGTCTCCTGTCCCACTGTACAAACCTTAAAGGCATGTTCCAAGTCAGGTGTATCATCAAAAGCTTGAATAAAGATAGTCCCCAATCTTCTGTCAAGGTCTTCTGTTCTTTGGTTAAATTCAGAGACATCAGTTTCAAATTCCTGAAAGAGACACCACATATACATAAGAAAAACATGATTTTTTGAAAGCCAACCTCATATGTTCTTTACTGTGTACTAACCTTTGTACTTGAGTCGATTATACCAAAGATTTATTTTCATTTTTTTAAAAGTCACCATCGCATGGCTTAGTTTTTATCCAAGTAGAGAGTTACCCTATTATTGCAGCATTTTTGTCTGGATGCTCTGAGCAAGATGGTGTAGTGAATCAAATGCAGGAATGGGGTCCTCTCACCCCACCTTCTGTGCCCCTCTCTGAAGACCCCTCTTTCATCTACAACACCAGCTTATGCCACCCAAAAATCACCTTGGCAGCAACAGCCCCAGCAGTGGGGCTGTCCAACATCACAACCTACTTTCCCCCCTCCCTCAAGACAAAATTCTAGTTTTTTCAGTGTAAGAGAACTAATCTAGCCATTAGCAGGAAAGTAAGCTAATTAAACTAATATGTACTATCTCTTCTAAACACACGTTAATTGGTTAAGACAGCAAAAACCCATTATTCCTAAGGCTGCCAAATTTAGCAAATAAAAATACACGGCATCCAGTTAAACTTAAATTGGCAATAAACAATGAATATTTTCTTATTATAATTATTGTATTTTATCTGGCAGCCCTAAGTGTGTTTCTCTTCTAGAGTGTAGCAATTTTAAGGGACCCTTTGTTTACTCAAATCTCTAATTTGTGGAATTATTATTGTTATTATGGTTTTACAACAGTTATGCATCTTCTTATGAAAAAATAAAGAAAAGTAGGAAAACATAATACAGTTGTATTTCCCAAACTCAAGCACATTGACATTGTGGTGTGTTTCCTTACAGTTTTTCCCTGGGCATAGCATTTTGTTTTGCTGTATTTTATTATATGGTAGCAAACACATGGTATATATCCTTGCTTCTTTTTTTTTTTTTTTTGTATTTTGACTAATGGGATTTCTAGAAAGTGGTATCTCTCTGAGTCCAGCCAATTAATATCCCACTGGACACCTGACGGTGCTCAGAGCAGATCTCTGCCATAATTTCCTTTTCCTTTTCCCTCAAATACTCTTAAAAATTTTCTTCTCCAACAATTCTGCTATTCCCTTTGGTGGAACCCCATTCTCTGTTTCCAGCCAATTAATATCCCACTGGACACCTGACGGTGCTCAGAGCAGATCTCTGCCATAATTTCCTCTTCCTTTTCCCTCAAATACTCTTAAAAATTTTCTTCTCCAACAATTCTGCTATTCCCTTTGGTGGAACCCCATTCTCTGTTTCCGTATAGCCCTTTTTCTATTTTTCTCCTGTGGGATTGAAGTCACAGGTCTTGGCTTTTGAGGGGCTATAGGTGAGTCATAGGTTCTTTGTTCCAATCCAGAAAATGAATTCCTGGGCTTTTCCTCATATGGAATAGGATAAGGCTTCACTTTCTCCTCCCCAAGCCCTGATAACCTTCTGCCCAGGTTGTCTGGCCTTCTCTGCTCTACTCAGACAACCAGGCCCTGGGCCAACAGCCCACCCGGCTGCCCAGCAGCACCCAGGATCCACCAGTGAGCCCAGCAGTCCTGCCCTTAGGGCTCAGGTTAGCACCTCCCTCTGCACCCAACTCTGCCTGTCCCTGTCCCACAGAAGGCTCTGCTTTCTCCCCCAAACTCCATTTTGTCAAGGGGACCACGTCCTCATTAGGTTTCTTAACAGGACAGTGCAGTCTTTGCTCAAAGCTTAAAACTTTATTTTTTAATTTTATTGAGGTATAATTGACAAAAATTGTGTATGTTTAAGAAGTACAACACGATGGTCGGTATATGTATACACTGTGAAATGATCAGCACAGTCAAGTTAGTTAACACACATCCATCACCTCACAGTTACCATTTTCTTCTTTTTTGTGCATGTGGTGAGAACACTTAAGATCTACCCTCTTAGCAAACTTCAAGTACATGATATGGTATTGCTACCTACAGTCCCCATGCTGCACATTAGCTCTCCAGGAGTTATGCCTCTTGTATAACTAAATGTTTGTACCCTTTGATGAACATCTCCCTATCTCCCCTTCCCCCAACCCCCGGCACACATTCTGCTCTGCCTCTACGAGTCTGACTATTTTAGATTCCTCATATAAGTGAGATCATGCAGTTTTTGTCTTTCTGTGTCTGGCTTATTTCATTTAATTTAAAACTTCCGGTGACACAGGGTGGCCACAGCCTCGACCATCATCCCATGCCCACCTGAGCGTCTCCAAAACCCTGGGTACCATCAGTCTGGAGCAGTTGGCAGTTGGGAGAGGCCTTCCCTGACCTCTCTCCTGACATGAAGAATAATTAGGATCTTTGCCCTGACACAAGGAATAATAATCATGACTCCTGACACCAATAATAATTGATCAAACCACTGGGACCACAGAGCCAATGGAAATGCACAAGGAAAATGGAAGTAAATGCTCAGGCCCTACAGGCTAGAGGCAGCTGACAAAGGAACACGGCTTGCGATTCTGCCCTTGCAAGTCCTACCCTGCTTTGGAGGTCCATGCAGTCATAGGAGGCCTCTGAGAAGACCCTGTACATCTCTTGAAATTCCTCGAACATTTGCTGGACCTGCTGACTCAGGGCATTTCCTTTGATGCCACTAAACTCAAGCTTTCCCAGTTTGTGGAAGTCCAAGGCTGTCTTCAGAAGATCCTATGGGGAAAATTCACAGAAGAGTTAAAATAATAACAATAATCATAACAGCAGCAGGTGGGTGATGCTCAAAGCAGTATGGGAAGAGCAGGAAATCATATGGGGTGGTGGTTGCTTAGGAAAATGTGAAGCCTGAATAGTTTCATAACCTTATTATTAGACTGGGTTGGTATAAATAACTCTTGGTTAAACTCGACAACAAAGCAAAAAGAAAGTAGAGACAAGTAAAATTCGCACAAAGCAAAATAAATAAAATATAAATAAAATTTACGCCTTAGCCTTTCTCTGTGTTCCTTCATAAATAATAAAATATAATTATAAAATTATTTACACGATTGCTGGCTTTACTAATTTTTATTTTAAAAAGCCAATTTCAAATGGGCAACGTTATCTGGTTCTAGAATGACAGCGTCTTAGGGGATATTGACAGAAAGCAGATTCTCCAAATAGTCCCGACAACAAGCTCAGAGGGTGACACCAGCCTTCTTAGCAACTTCTGCCAAGGAAAGACATCTCCCGCAGGGTACCCCTGCCAAGTATACGCAGCATGTTATGATATTGACAGAAAGCAGATTCTCCAAATAGTCCCGACAACAAGCTCAGAGGGTGACACCAGTCTTCTTAGCAACTTCTGCCAAGGAAAGACATCTCCCGCAGGGTACCCCTGCCAAGTATACGTAGCGTGTTATACCATGTCGCCAGCTGGGCAATTGCTTACCATCTCTGTGCTGGGTTTCTTCATCTGTCACAGGATAATAATAATAGCTGATGGTGTGGTTGTGAGAGCTAAATATGTTAATGCAGGCCTAGGCCTGAGGCCAGTGCCGGGCACACAATGAACACACCGTGCGTGTGTATTACTGTCATTGTTGTTGATATGACAGTGTCCCAGCTGTGCCCAGAATTAAATGACAGGTGGGCAACACAACCCAGAAGCCTTGGGGAGGAGCTCCTCCCAAGTCCCCGGAAGCCCCTTCACCACGCATAGGACGGGAGCCTCCTGAGCACATCTAACAAGACAGATTGAATTTACCTCTCGTGAGTACCTGTCTAAAACCACAAAATCTCTAAACCAGGATGTGCCTCTCGTCACGACTTCCAATCCATGTACATGCCCCTTCAACAGGAAGGAGGAAAGTAAAGGTTACCTTTGTGTCATTGTGGCAAACATTAAGAGTAGACCCCTAGGAGGGGTCCTTTATCTAGAGTTTGAAAGGCAATACAGGATGCACTGTGACACCGATGCTGTAAAACACAGCAGGTCCTGGAACCACTCCAGGAAATTCCTGCTGCCGATGGCCACCACTAGGGGGTGACCCCTCGGCTAGCAAAGGCTGCCCAGCTCCTTTCTCTCGCTGGGACACCTCCAGCAGCAGTGACAGAGGCACTGGAAAGTGGGAGAAGTGGATGACTTTCCCTGCCCACACTTGGGCATCACTAACAACACCTTTTTGCTCAGCTACATTCAGGCATGGCTGGCAACAAGCAGCAGAAGCAGGAGAGGAGAGAAGAGGAGGGACACTAGCCGAGGAAAGGAAGAGACATACTCCAAAACCAGGGGCTTTTGCCGCCAGTGGTGGGAGACAGTGCAGTTTTTTTTTTTTTTTTTGTCTTTTGT